GTTATGTAGCTCAGTGGGCCTTACAAGGGTAAAATAAAAAACAACAGACTCCACTCTCCGTCCTGAAGGCTCTCGCGTCGTGGCTGGCAGACCTCGACGTTGGCACCTCGTGGCCCCTGACACACATTGCCATCACTCGCAAGAATAGAATAGAAACCAGACGTCTGCGTGCGTGTGCGCGTGCGGTCCTCCACGTAACAGAGCCGCCGGGGAGTCGACGCAACTCGCGGGGGGCTTTTCATTCCGACGATGGAAGAGACGACGGTTCGACACGCGGACCGCAGTCGATAAACGGCGATAACCACGATCTGGCCGAGCCCGTCCGTCATTTCCTGTACGCCGGGGCGACTCGGAGCGTGTGTGTTTGTTGTTGTTACATCGTCACGTCTCTTCTCAACACGTTTGGAAGGGGGCCGGGCCCCCCCCCCCCACCCCCGGGCAGCTGTCTCTGTGTGCCACGAGGTGTCTCGGCACGTGGCCTGCGATCGGACATCACCGGTCTGCCCGTACGGGGAAGGGGGGCGACAGTTCGTGGTGCGTGTGATCACAATTGAGCGGAAGCAGAGGGAGGGGTCATTCATCTGACCTCGCTCAAGTCGTTGGCTGACTTGAGCGAGCGGTACGGCGGTCTTTGACGTCGGCTCTCTTTGGTAGCTTCCTCCGCTTAGTCTGTCACTGCTCTCTCGCTCGCTCGCCTTCTCTCGCAAACTCTGTCTCTGAGGTGTCTCCACTCTATGGACTCTCACTCTCCCCTGGTGCCTCCACACAGCTCCATACATCTCTCTCTCTACCGCTCTCTCTGTCTCCCCACCCCTTGCTCTCCCTCCCTCGCTCTCTCTCACACCTCTCCCCGCTCCCTCATTCTCATTTTCCCCTCTCGCTTTCCCCCTCAGCCTTGCGTTTAATCCTACAGAGCACAGGAATAATCTGGTTTAGGCGCGTGTGTGTGCGCGCGCGCGCCGCCTGTATGTGAGCCTGCATGCATGCGCGTGTGTGTGTCTCTATATTTGTGCGTGTGCCTATGCAAGTGCAAGTGTCCGTGTGTTTGTATCTGCGTGTGTACCTGCGTGTGTGCGCGCGCGCTAATGTTGCATGTCTTCATGTATCTGTGTGAATGTGCGTCTGCAGTATATTTGAGTGATTGCTTGTGTGTCTGTGTGTCTGTGTGTGTGCGCGGGGAGCGGTCGTGCAGTGGTTTAGCGCGGTGCGCGGCAAAATCGGCGACCTGAGTTCGATTTCCGCCCGCAGCCGACATCGGTGACAAATATCTGTGACCGGTCCTGGGCCTCCTCTAGGTTGACTCGGTGTGGAAACAGCACTGGGGGGAGATACAGGCAGCCGGGCGGGGTGCTGCCCACTGGCCGTGTTGGCCTTCATTCGTGCTCACCAACAGCACTTGCCTCCAACGGCCTGTCGAAAGGCTACATGGGGGACCTTTGTCTTTTGTACGTGAACTTTGCCTGTTTAAGTTAACGTGCGTATGTGTGTGTGTGTGTGTAAATATCTGTGTTCTCTGTCAGTGTGTCTGCAGATGAGTGCATTTGCAAAATGCATTTGTGTAAATATTTGTCTGTACAAATGTGAGTGTGGGCGTGTGAATGTATACGTGTGTTTGTTCGTGTAAACACGTTTCAATGTGTGTGCGTGTTTGCATAAGTGTCATCTCTAGGCCATTATGATCATCGCGATTTAGCGTTCAGTATCTTCAACACTGGCGCGGACCTCTCTTAGGTTGACTCAGCCCAAAGGGAGCAGCCGGTTAAAATGCTGATACCGATTCGTCGGTCGATGTCAGTGGCCCACGATACGTGCGTGGAAATCGTGCGTAAAGAATCAACATTGATCGGCGTGTATGTGGTGTGTGCAATGGGCACAGGTGACTCGTGCAGCCACTAGTGGCCGCTACATTAACCACGATGTAAGAAGTAAGAATAGCCACTTGCATCGGGTTTGCATCGACACTGAATCGTGACACTTCAGCGAGTGGCGTTGGGGGGGGGGGCGTTTGCTAATGAGGGTTGGGAGTCGGTGCCGGATTATCCCAGTAGCACAAGTAGCGACATATGTAGTAGCTACTACATATGTAGCAGCTACTACATATGTAGTAGCTACGCACTTGTAGTAGCTGCTACATATGTAGCTACGGGCCCCGCACTTTCAAGGGCCCCGCGCTAAATGCTTTCAAGCTATCAATTCCGGTTCAGTGATACCAGCATTTGCTCTATTACTATAGTACTTTACTGCCTTCAACTTAGGGTTAGCAATTTGTCGTATTATTTGGGCTGCATAGCAAATGAAAAAAATGCAATAACTTAACTATGCAAGTAAAACGTTCGTGTATTTTAATATTAGTGTTTATTTATTTATTTAGGGCTTCTTTATAACAAATGCTATAGGCCCCACACGAGCTTAATCCGGCACTGTTGGCAGGAGGGGGGATCTGGGAGGCACAGGGGTTGGGGGGGGGGGTGCAGGGGTTACCAAGGGTGCAGATCCATCCACCCTTGGTAATGATCAAGTGACCAAGTAATATCTGAACCTTTCCTGGGCATCCCCCTAAGTCGACTCAACCACAAATGAGCACCTGGTGCATTGTGTGTGCGCGTGTAAATATCACCAGGACAGAGACGGCCCAGGCTTGGTGCTGACTAAAGCCGCCACTCCTGGCTCCATCCTTCATGTGCCGTGCCGGCCTTCTAATAATCGACACTCTTGAAACAAATAAACCACTTGCACCCCCCCCCCCCCTAAACTCTCTCTACTCCCCAACCAGCTGGGGAATCGTCCCGCCGTCGTCGTCGCTGCGTGTGTGTGTGTGCGCCTCTCGTGTCATGTGTGTGTGCGTCTCGTGTCATTACAATCGCGACACGTGGGAGCCCGAGCGAGCGGTGGGAGGGAGCGCCGGAGATTAAGTGGAGAGATAATGCGTGATGATACACGCCTTCACGACCACCTCTCGCGCGCTGCGAGATGTTGACCTACCTCGCCCGGTACACGGGCGGTCGTGGGCTCGACCCCGACCTTGACGGCCTGCTGCTGTATATTTGGGACTTTGTGTGTCTCTCACCACGGAGATGTTAACTCCCTCGCCTGGTGTGCAGGAGGTCAGTGGGCTCGACCCCGACCCTGACGCCTGCTGCTGCTGTATATTTGGACTGTGCGTGTCTCTCTCTCCCGTGGGTCGTGTGGATTTTTCTCCGGCCCCTTCTGGTTTTTTCCAGACACATTTAGAATGAACATACGCTTGGAGTGTTTGGTTGCTATAAATGTACACTGTTATAAGCCACTTCGTCGCCAGTTATATATATATATATTGTATATGTGTTCTATATATGTGTGTGTAAAAGGCGACATATCCGGCAACGGACCAAATTCACAGCGCATAGAGAGGCCGGAGAGGTGTGCACTGTGAAGAAGGGTCATTACCCGAAACGTTGCCTATTTTATATTTTTAGTTCTCAATTTGCGTTGTTGGTGACGGTTGTGTTGAGTTGTGTTGTTGTTTGTGCTTGTGCACCGCTGCCAACACATCACCACCAGCTCATTCGTTAGACTTTTATTCAAGTCGCCGTGACGTCTCTTCCTTGCGCCAGTCCGCTCGTCCGTGGCGCCCTCCTCGTCCTGTCCCTCGGTGCAATTCCCAGCGCGCATCTCACTCCCCCCCCCTGCTTCCCGCTTGACTTCGCTGCGCGCTCGGCAAGCTTCTACCGTTCCGCTTTCTTGGCAAATCGTCCGCGCCTCTGGTCCGCGACGTCACACGGCGCCTGACAAAGCGCCGAGTTGACGCGCCGCGTCTCGTGAACCACAGAGCCACGTTGACCCACCTCGGTGACGCGTGCTTCCAACCTCACCACCGGCAAGGGGCAAGGGGGGGGGGGTCATCATCCAGCAGTGGATTGAGAGCGGGGTGTCAATACGCAGCCGGTCGCGCGTTGCTCCGCGCGTGTACGGTGGGGGATGGTTTTGTGCGTGCGCATGATATTGGACTTCTTTCGCACCGTACGTAGCCAACCGCGCTAATTGGAGGTTTCACCTGCGGCAGTAATTTGAGCAGTTGGATTTAGCGCGGATGAACGTGTCTGTGTGTGTGTGGAGTCGGAAAATGCAAATGCGTAGTTTCCAGACGCAGGCAATGGGGGTTTAATTAACGGACTCGTTAATGTAATTATTCCTTTACTGTCATTGTAACAATATTGGTTAGAGACCGACACAGGCTTCATTGTCGACTGTAATTGCAGTGCTCGGGACCCCGTGGTGGCGAGATGTGAACTACCTGGCCCGGCATGCAGGAGGTCGTGGGCTCGATCTCCTGACCCTGTAACGCCTGCCGTGTTTGCGAGTCTCTCTCCCTGTGGTCGCGTGGATTTTTCTCCGGGTCCTCCGGTTTTCCCCCTCCACGTTTGGAATGAACATCGCGTCTTCAGAGTATGTGGTTGTTACAAATGTCCACAAGATAAGCCACTCCGTTATCACTTGTGGCCAGGTCGCTTCTGAAAAAAATAGCTACATAGCTCAGTGGGCCTTGCCTGGTAAAATAAAATAAAGTCGTCTAATTAGTTTAGTTTTTAGTTCGCTGACGGGATGTCCACGATGGTGCACGAGTGTGGTGTGGTGTGCATGGTGGGTGTGTGTGTTGGTGAGTGTGTGGTGTGCATGGTGGCGTGTGGTGTGGGGTGGGTGCATGGTGTGGTGTGCATGGTGGGGTGGGTGCATGGTGGGTGTGTTGGTGAGTGTGGTGTGGTGTGCATGGTTGGTGTGGTGGGTGTGTGACGAGTGTGGTGTGCATGGTGGGGTGTGCGTTGCCGAGTGCGTGCCTCCCCGAGGTCGGCTCAAATGAGCACGCGATGCATTGTGTCAACATCATAATTGGGGTGACAAAGGCGGCCGGGTGTGGTTCTGTCAGCAATAGCACTTGCCCTCGAAGTCTGTGAGAGGTTACACGGGGATCTTTGTCTTTGTGTTGTTAATGAGAGTGGTCGTGGCTGCGTTGTGTCTGCTAGGAGCTTTCCTGAGCGGTGTGCCTGGCGCGGTGGGGTGCGGGTGCCATGTGGTTTACACGGCACCCATACTAAACCAGCAGTCTTACAGGTACCACGCACACCCCCACACTCACCCACACACACCCACACATACACACACCCACACAAACCCACACACACCCACAGACACACACCCACACACACCCACAGACACACACCCACAGACACACCCCCACACTCACACCACACACACACACGCACACCCCCACACTCACACATACACACACCCACACAAACCCACACACACCCACACATACATACACCCACACAAACCCACACACACCTACAGACACACACCCACAGACACACACCCACAGACACATCCACAGACACCCACCCACAGACACCCACCCACACACACGCACAACCCCACACACACCCACACGCACCTACACACACACACACACCCCCACACACTCCCACACACCCTTCCACACACACACACTTCCACACCCCCCCCCCACACCCCCTACCCACACCCCCACTCCCTCCATTCCGCCCACCGCCGCCGCCCCTCTCTACCCGCATCGTGGACAATCGGCGCGAGGCAGCCCCTCACCACCACCACCGCCGACTTGGCTCGGTGCAGCAGCGGCAGCAGCAGCGGCAGCAGCGGCGCCTCCCGCGTTATCTGCATCGGCGCCGCCGCTCAACCCCGCCGGCCCCCACCCCCACGCCCACCCCCCAACCACCACCCACCACGATGCGAACAACAGAATATGTATGAAGGCCGCAGGCCACCGCGGAGAGAGACAAAGACGGCCGGGCGCTCACGCCTTTCCCCCGGCCGGTGTCGCGAACGGCACCGGCTCCGATAGCCTGAGCACGGCTTGGCACGTGGCGATGCGTGTGTGCGCGTAGGTGTGCGTGTGTGCGCGTAGCTGTGCGTGTGTGCTCGTAGGTGTGCGTGTGTGCTCGTAGCTGTGCGTGTGTGCGCGTAGGTGTGCGTGTGTGCGCGTAGGTGTGCGTGTGTGCGCGTAGGTGTGCGTGTGTGCGCGTAGGTGTGCGTGTGTGCGCGTAGGTGTGCGTGTGTGCTCGTAGGTGTGCGTGTGTGCTCGTAGCTGTGCGTGTGTGCGCGTAGCTGTGCGTGTGTGCTCGTAGGTGTGCGTGTGTGCGCGTAGCTGTGCGTGTGTGCGCGTAGGTGTGCGTGTGTGCGCGTAGGTGTGCGTGTGTGCTCGTAGGTGTGCGTGTGTGCTCGTAGCTGTGCGTGTGTGCTCGTAGCTGTGCGTGTGTGCGCGTAGGTGTGCGTGTGTGCGCGTAGGTGTGCGTGTGTGCTCGTAGGTGTGCGTGTGTGCTCGTAGCTGTGCGTGTGTGCTCGTAGGTGTGCGTGTGTGCGCGTAGCTGTGCGTGTGTGCGCGTAGCTGTGCGTGTGTGCTCGTAGCTGTGCGTGTGTGCGTGGTGGGGCCGAGTGTGGTGCTGGCCATCATAGGTGCTCGCTAACAGCGAGGCTATACGGGGGGAGCGTGAGTCCTATGAGTCGAGCGTGTGTATGCATTGGTGTGTTGGTGAGCGTGTTGGTGAGTGAGAGAGTGGTGTTGGTGAGCGTGTTGGTGAGTGAGAGAGGCGTGTTGGTGAGCGTGTTGGTGAGTGAGAGAGTGGTGTTGGTGAGTGTGGTGTGTGGGAGTCTGTTGGTGAGTGTGGTGGTGAGCGTGTTGGTGTGTGAGAGTCTGTGTTGGTCAGTGTGTGAGTGTGTTGGTGTGTGGGAGTGTTGTTGGTGAGCGTGTTGGTGTGTGAGAGAGTGTGTTGGTGAGTGTGTTGGTGAGTGTGTTAGTGAGTGTGTTGGTGTGTGGTTGTTGGTGAGCGTGTTGGTGTGTTGGTGAGTGTGTTGGTGTGTGGGAGTGTTGTTGGTGAGTGTGTTGGTGAGTGAGAGTCTGTGTTGGTGAGTGTGTGAGAGAGTGTGTTGGTGTGTGAGAGAGTGGTGTTGGTGAGCGTGTTGGTGTGTGAGAGAGTGTGTTGGTGGTGAGCGTGTTGGTGAGTGAGAGTCTGTGTTGGTGAGTGTGTTGGTGTGTTGGTGAGTGTGTTGGTGAGTGTGTGAGAGAGTGGTGTTGGTGAGTGTGTGCGTGTGCACGAGTGGCGCGTGTAATGTTACACACACATTGGCCTCATAAGTATTCTCTGCGTCGGAGTTCTGGGCCGTTTAATTAATTGATCGTCGAGTAAACACACACACACACTCACACACACACTCTCACACACACACTCACACACACTCAGACACACTCACACACTCACACACACACTCACACACAGACACACACACACTCACACACACACACACTCAGACACTCACACACACACTCACACACACACTCAGACACACACACACTCACACACACACTCACACACACACTCACACACACACTCACACACACACTCAGACACTCACACACACACACACTCAGACACACACTCAGACACACACACACTCACACACACACTCACTCTGCATTGCCCACCCAGCCTGCTTACCCGTCTGCTCACACGCGATATGATTCGCCGTGTGTGTGTGTCTGCGTGTGGAGCGGTGGTGCAGTGGTTAGCGCGCTGCGCTCCTGGCTTCCAACATCGGTGACAAATATCTGAACCGGTCCTGGGCCCCCCCCCCCTCATAAGTCGACTCGGCCTCAAATCCTCAAATGGTTATCAGGTGCGATGTGTAAACATCGCCACTGCGGAGACAAATACGGCCGGGCGTGGTGCTACCCACCCACCCACTCGCGTGCCGCGCTGACAGCACTTGCCCCGGCAGTATGTTAAAGGCTATACAGGTGGTCTTTGTCTTTGCGTGTGTGTGTGTGGAACAGAGAGAGCACCATCTTCTCTCGCCTGTGATTACATCTGCTTCTCTCGCGCTCTCGCTCCCCTCCCTCTCCATCGCTCCCTGCCTCCCTCTCCTCCCCCCGTGGCTTCTCAGCCCCCACCCTTCTTACGACAGCTCACTCACACCACAGGCAGAGTGGTCACACAGGCAGACACACACAGACGCACACAGACGCACAGACACACACGGACGCACAGACACACACGGACAGATACCGCACATACGACCCCGAGTGGCCAGGTTCGCAGTAGAGCGCGCTAACCACCACACTACCGCTCCCCACCACCCACACAGATACACACAGACACTGTATATATACACACACACCCCCCACACACACACACCCCACACACACACCCCACACACACCACACACACACCCCCCACACACACGCCCCACACACACACCCCACACACACACCACACACACACACCCCCCACACACACGCCCCACACACACACACAAACCCCACACAGTAAGAGAGTTGGGGTTGGTGTGAGTGAGTGTGTGAGTAGGAGGGTTGGGGTGTGAGTGAGTGTGTGTGTGAGTAAGAGGGTTGGGGTGTGAGTGAGTGTGTGTGTGAGTAAGAGGGTTGGGGTGGGTGAGTGAGTGAGTGAGTGTGTGAGTAGGAGGGTTGGGGTGTGAGTGAGTGAGTGAGTGTGTGAGTAGGAGGGTTGGGGTGTGAGTGAGTGAGTGAGTGTGTGAGTAGGAGGGTTGGGGTGTGAGTGAGTGAGTGAGTGTGTGAGTAGGAGGGTTGGGGTGTGAGTGAGTGTGTGTGTGAGTAAGAGGGTTGGGGTGTGAGTGAGTGAGTGTGTGTGTGAGTAAGAGGGTTGGGGTGGGTGAGTGAGTGAGTGAGTGTGTGAGTAGGAGGGTTGGGGTGTGAGTGAGTGAGTGAGTGTGTGAGTAGGAGGGTTGGGGTGTGAGTGAGTGAGTGAGTGTGTGAGTAGGAGGGTTGGGGTGTGAGTGAGTGTGTGTGTGAGTAAGAGGGTTGGGGTGGGTGAGTGAGTGAGAGGGTTGGGGTTGGTGTGAGTGAGTGTGTGAGTAGGAGGGTTGGGGTGTGAGTGAGTGTGTGTGTGAGTAAGAGGGTTGGGGTGGGTGAGTGAGTGAGAGGGTTGGGGTGGGTGTGAGTGAGTGTGTGAGTAGGAGGGTTGGGGTGTGAGTGAGTGTGTGTGTGAGTAAGAGGGTTGGGGTGGGTGAGTGAGTGAGAGGGTTGGGGTTGGTGTGAGTGAGTGTGTGAGTAGGAGGGTTGGGGTGTGAGTGAGTGTGTGTGTGAGTAAGAGGGTTGGGGTGGGTGGGTGAGTGAGTGAGAGGGTTGGGGTTGAGGGGTTGGCGAGGGGAGGAGGTAGCGGTGGTTGCTGCGTCTCATTTCTCTTCTCGCGGTGCGGTGGTGGCGGTGGTGGGGGGGGATCAGGGCGTGTGGGTGGGAGGTGTGGGGAGGGGCGGAGGGGAGTTAAGCAGCCTGATTTGGTGACTGCTGAACACTAACAGGTATTGACAAAGAGAGCGAGCGGCGTGCGTGCTGCGCATACAAGGCGCCCGTGTGTGTGCGTGCGTGCATGCACACGTGTGCGTGCATGTGTGTGCATGCATGTGTGTGTGCTGTGTGTATGTGTGGGGAGCGGTGGTGTAGCGGTTAGCGCCGCTGCGCTATGAACCTGGCGACTCGAGTTCGATTCCCGCTCACGGCCAACACCAGTGACGATTATCTGAACCGGTCCTGGGCCTCCCCTAGGTCGACTCAGCCTCAAATTAGTACCTGGTACGGTGTGCAAACATCGCCACTGGGGAGACAAAGGCGGTCGGGCGTGGTGCTGGCCACCCACCCCCTCGTGTACCGTTCCGGCCTGCATAGGTGCTCGCTAACAGCACTTGCCCCTATAGTCTGTGAAGGCTACATGGGGGATCTTTGTCTTTGTGTGCGTGTATGGGGAGCGGTGGTGTAGTGGTTTGCGCGCTGCGCTATGAACCTGGCGACTCGAGTTCGATTCCCGCTCACGGCCAACACCCAGTGATGATTATCTTCACCGGTCATGCGCCTTCCCTAGGTCGACTCAGCCTTAAACTGGTACTTGGCGCGGGTAGGTGCTCGCTAATGGCACTTGCCCCGACAGTCTATCAGGGTACCTTTGTCTCTACATACGCAGAGATAGACAACTTCTTTTGTACCGTACGTGGCCAGCTGGCGACAGCAAACAAAACACCCAAAAACCGCTCGAAAAAGAAATGAATTTTCAATCGAGATGAGTTTGAAAGTCGCCACGGACGCAGCACCCGCGAGAGGAATTCCTCCACCCCCCACCACACACACCGATCATCGTCGAGTGAAAACAATAAAATAACGAAACGAGGCCCAACATCAACACCGAGACTTGGAGGAGGAGGAGACGTGAAAAGACCTCTCCCCTCTCCCCTCGTTCGAGCAGCCCCAAGATAACCCGCGGGCGGGGGTTGTCGCGGGAGAAGTTGGTTTCACGATTAGAATAACTCGTGCAAGTGAAAGTAACACACAAAAATACGCGAATGTGAATTGATTGTCAATGTTACAATTCGGCTCGTTCATCCCGGAAGGCCTCGCCGAGTCTCGGCTCCGCTTTTCAGGAGGGTCCTGTCAATTGTGCGTCGCAGCGGGCAGACAACGTTGCCATGTACGGACCCAATTGAGTCAATAGCAGGGTGATTTTTGTGAGTGTTTTGGGTGTTTGGGCTGATGCCGGGTTGCGTTGTATGGGAGGAAACCAGCGCACCTGGAGGAAGCCAATTTCAGGACGGGGGGAGAGAACATACAGATTCCCCCGGGTCAAGAATCGGACCCAGAGCCTTTAAAGTGTCACCACTTCACCACTCACTCTGTCCCCGTATATATAACCTGTGTAGAGTGCGTCTGTGTGTGTGGCTGATACACGTGGTTGTATGCGTACAGGACGTATAACGTCGTGCATATGTGTGTACAGGAAGGTTTGTGTGTCGATCTGTGTTTGTACGAGTGTGTATTTGAGCTTTAGCATGCTGCACTACGAACCTGGAGACCCGATTTTGATTCCTGCTCACAAGCAATAAATAGTTGTGAATATCTGAACCGGTCCTGGGTCTCTCCTAGGTCGATTCAGCCTTTAATGAGTACCTGGTGCGGTGTGTGAACATCGCCACTGGGGAGACAAAGGCGGCCGGGCGTGGTGCTGGCCACCCACCCCCTCGTGCACCGTTTCGGCCTTCATATGTGCTCGCTAACAGCACTTGCCCCTACAGTCTGTTAAGGCTATATGGGGGATCTTTGTCTTTATATGTGAGTGTGTGTATGAGTGTGTGTATGAGTGTGTGTGTGAGTAAGTGAGTGTGTATGTATGTGACTGTGTGTATGAGTGTGTGTGTCTGTATGAGTGTGTGTATGAGTGTGTGAGTGTGTGTATGAGTGTGAGTGTGTGTGTATGAGTGTGTGTATGAGTGAGTGTGAGTGTATGTGACTGTGTGTATGAGTGTGTGTGTGTATGAGTGTGTGTATGAGTAAGTGAGTGTGTGTATGTGACTGTGTGTATGAGTGTGTGTGTGTATGAGTGAGTGTGTGAGTGTGTGTGTGTGTATGAGTGTATGTGTGTGTATGTGTGTGTGTGAGTGTATGAGTGTGAGTGTATGAGTTTGAGTGTATGAATGTGAGTGTGTGTATGAGTGTGAGTGTGTGTAAGGACACTCACACTCATACACCACGGCCGTGCGTGGTGCATGCCACCCACTCCCTCGTGCGCTGCTGAACCGGCGGCCTTCATTGGTGCTGGCCAACAACACTTGCCCCATCAGCCTGAAGAGGACTCTACGGGGTGTTTTATGCCTTTTGCACGAGTGAAAGAGTGTACGTGAGTGTGTATGGATGTGTGCAGCACAGTGTGTGCAAATGTGTTTTTAAGTGTGTGTGCATGAGTGCATGAGAATATGTGCGCGTGTGTGGTGTGTAAGCGTGTGTGCATGGCACGGCGAAATTGTAAATTTTACTCGTTAAATAAATCGCAGCTGCCCTGTGTCGCCTATCAATCGGTCGTGATTGCCGGCAGACTCGTGGCCTTGGCATTCCGAAACCTATAGACGTGTAGGGAGCAGGGAACGGCGTGGAAAGCGGTGTGTGTGTCAGTGTGTGAGTGAGTGTGTGTATGTGTGTGTGAGTGAGTGTGTGAGTGTGTGAGTGTGTGAGTGTGTGTGACTGTGTGTGAGTGTGTGTGAGTACTGTGGGGAGCGGTGGTGTAGCGGTTAGCGCGCCGTGCTACAAACTTGGCGACCCGGGTTCGATTCCCGCTCACGGCCAACACCAGTGACGATTTAATTGAACCAGCCCTGGGCCTCCCCTATGTCGACTAGGCCTCAAACGAGTACCCGGTGCGATGTGTAAACATCGCCACTGGGGGAGACAAAGGCGGTCGGGCGTGGTGCTGGCCACCCACCCCCTCGTGTGCCATGTCGGACTTCATAGGTGCTCGCTAACAGCGCTTGTCCCTACCGCCTGTTAATGCCACACGGGGTTTGGGGTGGGGGGGTCTTTGTTTTTTGTGCGGGTGCTGGGCGACAGGGTGCGGTGACGCGGCACAGCGGTAGCGCGTGCCCCCCCTTGGTGTGGTTGGAACACTCGCAGCCCCCCCCCCGCTTAATAACCCTAAACAATGATACCGCCCATGTGCTTGGCAGCGGACGCTACATGAGCCTGTGGCGTCAATTCGAAAGAGTCGAGTCGCCGTGCGCCTGCCGATGTCACGGTCCCAGATTTTGGCGAACTTTTACAAGATGACACCGCAAGTGACTCAATTGGGATTATACACAGCGGCTATCGTCCCCCCTCCTACACTGCGGAAACATGGCAGGATCCTCTTGAGAAAATGTCATGGGAGTCGGCGAGGCTTTCCTGGGTAAACGAGCGTAATGACAACAATGTATGTGAGTATACGTGTGTCTGTGTGCGAGTGTCAGTAGTAGTGTGTGTCGAAATTTGTGTCCGTGTAAATGTGTGTGCACATTGATTGAAGTTTGCGTCCGGATAAATGTACGTGTGTGTCTAACAGCGCTTTCCCCAAAAGTCTGTTAAAGGCTTTATATGTGTGCTCTTTGTATGAGTGTACGTGTGTGTGTGATTGTGTGAGTCTGCGTGTGATTGTGAGTAAGTATGTACGTATAGGTGTGTACGTCTGTGTGTGCGAGTCTGCATGTGATTGTAAGTATGTACGCTTAAGTGTGTGTACGTATCTGTGTGTGAGTCGGTGCGTATGAGCAGAAGGTGTGAGTCAGGGGTTTGAGGGAGCATGTGAGTCCAGGTGTGTGCGCCTGTACGTTGGGGAGTCTAAGTAGTGTGTGTGTGCGTGTGTGTGCGCGCGTGTGTGCGCGTGTGTGTGCGTGTGTGTGCGTGTGTGTGCGTGTGTGTGTGTGTGCGTGCGTGTGTGCGCGCGTGTGTGAACGTGCGAGCAGCCATTGCTCACAAAACTCGCACGCACACGTCGCAGCCCGTTGCGCTCGAACCATCGCCCGGAGCCAAAATCTTCCTTTGCGCCGATCTCCGAGCATGAGAGAGAGAGAGCATCCCTCCTCCTCCTCCTCGTCCTCCTCCCCCTCACTCCCCCATCATCACCCCTGCAGAATAACTGCCCCCCCTCCTCACCCCAGCCTCCATTCCCTCTCTCTCTCTGTGCACATCGCACCCCCCCCCCACCACCCAGACCCCTCCTCCCCCTCCTCCTCGCTCAGGGAATCTGGGATTCATAATGTTTTTTTTCCTTCTGCAGGGCATTCTCCTTTGGATGGGTTTTAGGGAGAGGGAGGGAGTGAGTGGGAGAGGGGGAGGGAGTTGTGTTTTCTGAGTGCCATTGATGGCTGTAATGTGAACACCTACCCTGGCTGCGCGTGTGTGCGTCCGCGTGTGATCGTCTTGTTGTGTGGTGGTTGTTCTGCCGGTTGTGCTGACGCATGCGCTGCTGTTTGCCGCTGTTGCTGTTGCAGGCGGTTGCGATGGTGGTGGTGGTGGTGTGAGCGGTACACCGGAACACCATGACCTCCATGGACAGGCACATTCAGCAGACCAACGACCGGCTGCAGTGTATCAAACAGGTAACACAGTCACACGCGCGCACATGTGCAGTCACGCAGGCCCACGGTCGCACACCGTCACCACGTCACCAACAACAACGGCTGCCATTCGCCAGTTAGTGATGGTGACGTCACCACAGCGCTTGTGCCAGGCCAGGTGCACTTTGAGGCTGTCACGCGAAGTGTCAAAGGCTCGCTGCTGGCAGGAGGTCACGCTGTGTTTTATGGGTCGACTGACTGAGACGACTGGCAGATGCGCCAACTGTGCTCCCCGCTGTGTTAGCCGCCCAGCACGCCGCTCGTGGATGTGAGAGTCGCTCCTCTGCCCTCCGTTGTTGCAGGAGGGGCGACTGCCTCCAAATCTGCCCAAGTAGCGTCCTTCACGATCAGCCTCCTAGACATGCGCGCGCACACGTTCTCGCACAAAATAACTTGTGTACATGCACGCACACGCGCGGACATAAACACACACGTACACAATTCTTCTTCCTGGCGTTATTCCGCTCTTGCGCGGTCTCACTTCCCCTGGCCTGGCCCATCATCGCCACGTCCACTGGGTCACCGCTTCTCATCTCGTCGCAGTGGTGAGATGTTAACTACTTTGCCCGGTATACAGGAGGTCGTGGGTTCGATCCTGGTCCTGAAGCCTGCTGTATATTTGGAGTTTTTCTCTCTCCCCGCGGTCATGTCAATTTTTCTCCAGGTCCTCCGATTTTTTCCTCCACATTTAGAATCAACGCGCGTTTAGAGGATTTTGGCCGCTACATATTTCCACGTGATGATGAGCCACTTCGTTGAGCTGTCATTTGTGGCCAGGTGGCTTCTGAAAAAACAGCTAATAGCTGATTAGGGCCTTACGCCCTTACCTGGTTCAAATAAACAACAGTTTAGTTGAATGGTTTGTTAAGTCCGCTATCTCGGCCCGACTCGCGGTCTCTGCCCTGGTGGTGTCCACGATCGTCGTCACTTTCCTGCCCGTGTGGATTCTCTCCGTCGGTTCGACATGTCCCCTTCGCCAGCCACCCCCACGGTGACTTTCGCTCGGCTCGTCCGAGATTGGGGTCCGCCGCTCGTCCCCTCCGTGTCTGACCGAACACGAACACGCGGGCGGTCACATTTGCATGCAGGCACATTTAGACAAACACAAAGACAACGTAGCTTTAACAGACTGTTGGCACAAATGTTGTTAGCAAGCGCCTATTAAGGCCCACGGCACATGGCCGGGTGGTGTGGCCAGGACCATGCCCTTGGCCCCCTCTGCCTCTCCGGTGCCGATCGTTGCTCACCGTACCAGGAACTGATTTAAGGCCGAGTCAACCTAGGGGAGACCCAGGACCGGTTCAGAAGTTCGTTACCGATGTTGGACTTGAGCGGGGAATCGAAGACGGGCGGCTGGGTTTGTAGTTCTAACCACTGCGTCACCGCTCCCACATAAAAAGTACAAATACACGTACACACACACACACACCCGCGTCCATAAGCACGCTTATGTACAATTATTGTCACGTGCACGCACATAAATGCCCACACTTACACACGTGTACACAAGCACGTACACACGTACACACGTGTACGCAAGCACGTACACACGTACACACGTGTACACAAGCACATACACACAAAGCCAAAGTGATTTCCTGCTGAAATGAGCATTCATGCATTGGTGCTCATCTCGTGCTTAAAGTCTGAGCCAGTGATGGAAATTCCACATTCCTATGGAGGGGGGGGGGCGGCGGGGGGGGGGGTGAGTCAATCCGTAGACGAACCGCCGTTGACTTGCCCACAAAAGTGGTACTCGTTTTATTGACCCTGGAAGGATGATGGGCCGACGCAACACCCCGACCGGGACTTGAACTCCTTTCCGCCTGTGAGCCGCTTGCTCTACCGCTGAGCTACCCGGCCAATCAACACGCACACAGCGTCCACAGGCACGTGCTCGCGCACAAATGCACTTGTAACACAAATGCAAGAAAACACAAACTTAATACACACCCACCCACCTCGTGTGCCTTGCCGGCTTTGATAGGTGCTCGCTAACAGCACTTGCCACAACAATCTGGTAAGGGCTTTAAGGGGAATCTTTGTCTTTGTTTGTATAACTCTATGGACTCTGCCGTTGCAAACGTGTGCTTGCGTGTAAGTGTGTGTGTGTGTACGCGTGTATGTATGTCTGTGCGTTTGTGTGTGTGTGTATGTGTGTGTGTGGATGTGTGTGTGGTTGGGTGTGTGTGTGTGGATGTGTGTGGATGTGTGTGTGGAGGGCTGGGGAGTTGGATGTGTGTGTGTGTGGATGTGTGTGTGTGTGGATGTGTGTGTGTGTGGATGTGTGTGTGTGGATGTGTGTGTGTGGAGGGCTGGGAAGTTGGATGTGTGTGTTTGGATGTGTGTGTGTGGATGTGTGTGTTTTGATGTGTGGATGTGTGTGTGTCGATGTGTGTGTGTGGAGGGCTGGGGAGTTGGATGTGTGTGTGTGGATGTGTGTGTGTGGATGTGTGTGTGTGGATGTGTATGTGTGTGTGTGTGGATGTGTGTGTTTGGATGTGTGTGTGTGGATGTGTGTGTGTGTGGAGGGCTGGGGAGTTGGATGTGTGTGTGTGGATGTGTGTGTTTGGATGTGTGTGTGTGGATGTGTGTGTGTGGATGTGTGTGTGTGTGTGGATGGCTGGGGAGTTGGATGAGACTGGAATGCACAATGTGTAACCTGACACTTGGGGGCTGACTCCCTCCCTCCACCTTCCTCCTCACAATTCCAGACAAACAGGCAGATTCCAGCCAAGCTCTCTCTCTCTCCAGCCACACAGACAGACAGCCATCCCCGCAGACAGACAGCCATCCCCGCAGACAGACAGCCATCCCCGCAGACAGACATCCATCCCCACAGACAGACAGCTACCCACACAGACAGACAACCATCCTTGCAGACAGACAGACAGCCATCCCCGCAGACAGACAGCTACCCACACAGACAGACAGCCATCCCCGCAGACAGACAGCCATCCCCGCAGACAGACAGCTACCCACACAGACAGACAGCCATCCCCGCAGACAGACAGCTACCCACACAGACAGACAGCCATCCCCGCAGACAGACTGCTACCCACACAGACAGACAGCCATCCCTGCAGACAGACAGCCATCCCCGCAGACAGACAGCCATCCCCGCAGACAGACAGCTCCCCACACAGACAGCCAGCTCCCCACACAGACAGCCTGCTGCTACCAACACCGATAGCTCTCTTCACATAAATCTTTCCTCACTGCCAGCTATCCACACCGATATTATCTTTATAGACACATCTACACATATGGCTACCTTCACATGAAGTTACCCTTACAATCAATGACTGTGTGCATAGCTATCTCAACAGCCAACTTATGTGTTCCCGCAGACAGGGAGCTATCCCAATATCCCACTCTATTCGCAGACATCTGTCCTGATGAACCATCCCAGCTATGCTCATAAGGCAGCAAGCCAGACAAGGCAGAATAGGCTGTTTAACAGATAGCCAGCTAACCTCGCACGCACGCTAGCACACACGCGCTCGCTCGCGCAAACACACACACAGCCAGACAGCCAAGCCAGCCTGGATAGTTTCACAGCGGTCTAGCTAGACCATCAGCCATGTTGACAGCCATCCTAAACTAAACTATCAAACATGTTTTTTTCTTTTACCAGATGAGGTTCACTGAGCTATATAGTAGTTATTTTTCAGAAGCGAACTGGCCACAAATGATGGCCCAACGAGAAGTGGCTTATCACGTGGAAATGTATTTCAGCAGCCAAATACTCTAGACGCGTGCTTGACGTCGATTCTAAATGTGGAGGAAAAACACCCGATGGTCCGGAAGAAAACCCACGCGACCACAGGGGGAGAGAGAGAGAGACGGCAAACTCGAAATAAACAACGGGCGTCAGGGTCGGGATCGAACCCACGACCTCCTGCATACCAGGCGAGGGAGATAACATCTCCTAGCCACCGTGGCGGCGCCTACTGCCACCGCCGGCGCCCTCCTTGTTCGCATAGCGGCGGCGCAACTCGGCGGTGATTTACATTCCGCCCCCTCTCACCGGCGAATCGCCCGCTGCTGCTGCTGCTGCTGCGAGTGGAGAGACACTGCTGCTGCTGCCGCCACCAATTTCAAGGAGGATGGAGAGAGAGAGAGACGCCGATTATAGAGACACCGCCACCGGCGGAGACGAACAACAAACAGTGCCCAGCGGGTTGCCGCGAGCCGCGCGCCACCGGACGGAGCGAACCACCTCGCACACAGCCGGGGAGACGGATCCAATTTGAACAAAACTTAAGAGAAGAAAACACTGCGGTTACTCAAACAAATAACGAACAAGGTGGGGGGGGGGGGGGGGGGGGATTGGATCTGGGGCGGTGGCGCTCGCCTCAGATTCGTTCGATTGACAGGCCCGAGCCAGTCCGTTGGTGGAAATGACACATTGCCATGACAGGGCCAGGTCGGACACGACAGGAGCCCACAGTGGTGCTGCTCGTTGTGGAAACTCCTCCAGAGGGATGATGGGTAAAATTGTCCCCGCCTACGAGGCATTAAACGGTGACACTTTTGTAGAAGAAACTTCTCCTCTCTCATGGAACCCTAAAGGGTCAAATCCACGTGGCGTTGAGCTGCAGAGGTCAATAAATAAGGACAATTTGGTTCGTTAATCCAGGAAAGCTTCACCGTGTCTCAAGCCTCCTTTGTAGGAGGGTCCTGCGGCTGAAAATGTAAGAAATCTGCATATGATCTGCCAACCCTTGCCTCTAGATCACTGGATGACCAGCATGCACCTCCGATTAGCATGGCTGGCTACGTACGGTGCCAAACAAGTTCAACATACCTACATGCTCCTGTGATGATGATGATGATGATGAGGAGGAGAGTTGTTGGCGAGTGTCTTCGGGCTTTTCTTGACAACACAATAACTCCAGAGTCACGGCCACTGCCCCCCCCCTCCTCCTGCTCCTAAGCCGCTAAGTCAACACCTCGTCCCTGTTTACAATGCGGTCATGTACAGAGTGTGTGTGTGTGCACGCGAGTGTGAGAGTGAGTGAATGAGTGAGTGAGCACCGATCACTTGAGTTGAATCGCCCCGGCCGTTTCGCTGTTTGCTCGAGAGCTCACGGACTTGATTCATGGGTTCGCGAGCGGGTGAACCGACGCGTGCGGAGACGCGCCGAGCCGTTGACTGGAGGTCTCGGCCCGCGACACGAGCGGCGAACGGTGCTCGTGAGAATTGATTATTTTGCGATGCGTACAAATCGTACGCAAACGTTATACGGAGTGCTTATGGCGCGAACAAGGCTGTACGAACGGGAAATTATCGGAACGAGACGCGATAGGAACGAGACACGACAGGAACGAGAGGCGATAGGGAGATTTGAAAAATCTTTAATTGATTGGTGACCATGAATCGTGACGTGCCAGCTCATGGAGTTGCCGCCACGTGGGTGAACCATTCACGCGTCTGCTGCCGATCGTTTCCCGTTCATCTGATATTTGGGGAAACGGAGGCGACGTTTCCCGTCATCCGTGAGCGACATGCCAGGGTGGTATAAATCTCTGACGAGATCAAGATGGGAGATCGCAACGAAAGATTACAACGCGAGATTACAACGAGAGAAAACCTCATCGCTGTCATCGTTAGCGCCGCCGCCGCCGCTTTAGACGACGCAGCTGGAGGCAAGACGACGACTTCGCGTGGCCTTGAGAGATAAGACGGCGGCGATGACGACGACGACGATTTGCAACCGCAGGAGGCGAGCAGGAGAGCGAGCGCCGAGGTGTTTGACAGCGGCGATTGAGAGGAATCTGGAATTTTACACATCTGGATTGGGACCAGGTCGACGAGAAGTACCCCCATTGACACTCGGACACGACTACGAGGGGGTCGGCTCCCTTCTCTGCAGAGCAGCGAAGGGAGCAAGAGAGGGGGGTTTCGGAGTTGTTTGAGTGAGTGAAGAGCACTGTGTGTTTGTGTGTTGGAGCAATGTTGAGATAGGTCTCTGTGTGTCTGTGTCTTTGTGCCTCGTGTCCGCGTGCGTGTCCGTGTGTGTGCGTGTGTCCGTGAGCAGTTGTGCAGCCGTGGTTAGCGCAATGTCCCCTACGCAACCAACATCGATGACAGATAACTGACCCGGTCCTAGGCCGTCTCTGGGTTGATGCAAGAACATGGGCACTGGAGAGACAAAGGCGGCCCGGGCAAAATGCCGGCCACCCGCCCCATCGTAGGCGCTCGTTAAACGGCACTCGCTCCAGCAGTCTGTTAACGGCTACACGGGGGGCCCCCTGTCTCTGTCTTTGTCCGTGAGCAGCACCTGCAGAGTCCCGGGAGTTTCCAGACGGCCGCGCGGGAGCTGCTCGACTGGTGTGGGGATCCCCGCGCCTTCCAGCGCCCCTTCGAACAGAGCCTCATCGCCTGCCTCACGGTGCGCGCACACACTCACAGCTCGCACGGGCACGCACACAGACACACCGCTCACACTCACGCTCACAGCTTGCACGGGTACGCACACACACACCGCTCACACTCTCACGCTCACACCGCTCGCACGAGTACGCACACAGACACACCGCTCACACTCTCACACTCACACCGCTCTCACGTGCACGCACACAGACACACCGCTCACACTCTCACACTCACACCGCTCGCACGTGCACGCACACAGACACACCGCTCGCACGGGCACGCAAGCGCTTGCACGCACACACCAGCTCATGCAGGCACAGTCACAGATGCACACACTTTGCACAGGCACACATACACGCCAGCTTGCACGAGCAAGCAGTCCCACTCGCACAGGGACACACATACACACAGATGCACGTGTGCACACTACTGTTCGCGCACACTCGCTCACAGAGGCACGCATACTCGCGCACTCGCAAGCACGCATACTCACGCGCTCTAAGACACGCAGACATGTGCGCGTGCAGAGACGTGCACGTGCAGACATCTTTTCCACAGACGCACACATACACCCACATGCACAGACTTGCACGCACACACAACAAAAGACCCACACCCACTTACTTGCACAGACACAGACTTGAACACAGACAAATACACACATTGCACGTGTGGATGTGTATGCATCTGTGTGAGTGTGGGGAGTGGTGGTGCAGTGGCTACAGCACTGCTCCACGAACTCGGTGATCCGAGTTCGATTCCCGCTTATCGCCAACGTCGGTGACGAATATCCGAGACGGTCCTGGGCCTCCCTTAGGTCGACTCAGTCTTAAATGAGTACCTGGTGTAGTGTGTAAACATCGGAACTGGGGGAGACAAAGGTGGCCGGGCGTGGTGCCTGACCACACGCCCCCTCGTGTAGCATGCCGGCCTTCACAAGTTCTCCCTAGCAGCACTTTCCCCAAAATTCTAAGGCTAGACGAGGGATATTTGTCTTTGTCATTGCTAGTTGTGGTGGTGATACTGGTTTTGGTTGCGGTGGTGGTGGGTGGTTGCGCTAGTGGTGGCGCTGGTGGTGGTGGTAGCGATGGTTGTGGTGGTTCTGTTGATGGTCGTGGTGGTACTGGTGATGGTTGTGGTGGTGGAAGTGATGGTTGTGATGGTACTGGTGATGATAGTTGTGGTGGTGATGCTGGTGGTGTTAGCTATGGTGGTGCTAGTGGTGGCGCTGGTGGTGGCGCTGGTGGTGGCGTTGGTGGTGGCGTTGGCGTAACTCGACCTGCCGGGGGAAGGAGGGGGTAGGGGCTGCGATGTGAACCTCAAACATGGACACGTGTTTTAAATTCTGAGTGCAGCGGTGCTGCTGCTGCTGCTGCTGGCTCAACTCTGGATGTGATTAGGAGCAGGGAGACGGTGGCCTCCCAGAGGAGCCATGCACGCGCGTGTGTGTGTGTGTGTACGTGCGTGGACGTGTGTTTTTATTTGTGTGTGGGTCTTTGTGTGTGTTTGTGTTTATATTTGTGTGTGCATGTGTCTGTGTGGGTCTGTGTGTGCCTGTACGTGTAGGCGTGGTGCTGGGCACCACGTGTGCCGTGCTGGCCTTCATAAGTGCTTGCTAACAGCACTTGCCCCAAAAGTCTGTGAAGGCTATGCGGGGTCTTTGTATTGTGTATGGGAGTGTGTGTGTGCATGCGTGTTTGTGTTTATATCTGTGTGTTTGTATGTATGTGTCTGGGTGACTATGTTAATGGCTGTGTGTGGCTGTGTTTGTATTTGTGTTGGGATGCATGTGTGTGTATTTCTTATGTAGATGTGTGGGTGCCTGTGTGTATGTGTGTGGATGAGAGATGATGTGCACGTATGTAAGGGGGAGTGGTAGTGTAGCGGTTAGCGCGCTGCGCTACGAACCTGGCGGCCCGAGTTTGATTCCCGTTCGCGGTTAAAAGCAGTGAAGATGATCTGAACCGGTCTTGGGTCTCCCCTAGGTCGATTCAGCCTCAAATACCTGGTGCGATGTGTAAACATCGCCACTGGGGAGACAAATGCGGCCAGGCGTGGTGCTGACCACCCACCCTTTTGTGTGCTGTGCCGGCCTTCATAGCTGCTCACTAACGGCACTTGTCCCAACAGTCTGTTCAGGCTACACGGGGGATCTTTGTCTTTGTGTGAGTGAGCATGAGTCTCACGAGCAAATTGCCCCAAAAAGTCCGTTGAGGCTATAACCACGGGGAAACCTTTGTTGTGGGGAGCCGTGGCGCAACAGTTAGCGCGCTCGGTTCAATTCCCACTCGCGGCCAATATCAGTGACGATTATCTGACCGGTCGTGGGCTTCCCCTGGGTCGACTGTGCCTCAAATGAGTACCAGGTGCGGTGTGTCAACACCGTCATAAGGGGGATCTTTGTATGTATGTATGTGGGCGCGGTAGTGTAGCGGTTAGCGCGCTGCGCTATGAACCCGGCGACACGAGTTCGATTCCCGCTCACGGCCAACACCAGTGACGATTATCTGAACCGGTCCTGGGCCTCCCCTAGGTCGACTCAGCCTCAAATGAGTACCTGGTGAGGTGTGTAAAGATTGCCACTAGGGAGACAAAGGCGGTCGGGCGTGGTGCTGGCCACCCACCCCCTCGTGTACCGTTTCGGCCTTCATAGGTGCTCGCTAACAGCACTTGCCCCAACAGTCTGTTCGAGGCTATATGGGGATCTTTGTCTTTGTTGTGGTGCTGTGTGTGGATGGCTGAATGTGTGTATGTATGTCTGGCATTTTTTCGTGTGCGTGGTTCATACATCTACCCGCTCTGGGATTCTATTAGGTTAACTCGGCTCTCATTTGAGTACATTTTGTGATGGTGTGGTCTGAATTGGTGGCGGGGTTGGTAGTCGTGGAGGTCGCTGTTGTGAGTGATGGTGACATTGGCTGTGTGTGATCGTTATTGCGAGTAAGCGATCGTGTTACTGTTTGTGGCTTAATCGGTGGTGGTGCTGACTTTTCTATTTTTTGGATGTTGGTGGCGGTGGTGGTGCTATAATTGACAGTGTAATTATTGTTGGTGGTGTAATTGCTGCTCATGGTGTACTCGGCGGTGATGATGGTGGTGCTGTTGTTGGTGGTCATTGTGTAATTGGTGGTTTTGGTGGTGGTCATCGTGTAATTGGTGGTGTTGGTGGTTGTTTAATTGATGGCTCTGTGGCCAAGCTGTAGAGCCGGCGGCTGGCGATGGAAACGTTGTAAATTGAGTTCCTGGTTGACCCCAGCCCATCATTGCTGTGGTGTCGATAAAACAAGTACCACTCTGTGGGGAAGTCAACAGCAGTGACCTTATGGATAATCTCACACCCCCAGCACTGCCACTGTGCTCTAAACAAGATAACAGCAGCAGTGCCTCAATGCTCATTGGACCAAGATATCGCTTTGACTTTTATTAAAATTGGTGGTTGTGGTGGTTTGGTGGAAGTGGTGTCATTGTTGGTGGTTGTGTAAATATTGTTGGTTGGTGGTGGTGGTATCAATGGTTGTGGTGTAAACGGAAGTTTTGTCAACGTTGCCGGTGGTGACTGTGATGTTGTTTGGGGTAACTGTCCAACGTGTGTAGGCCGTGGTCGTTGTTGACTGCGGTGACTGCGGTTGCGGTGGTGGTGGCGTCGTCTGCACCGTTGTTGATGGCTGTCTCTGGCTGTTGTTGTGATGGCTGTCTCTGGCTGTTGTTGCTGCGTAGGTTGTGAGCCGTGTGGCCGCTCAGCAGGGCTTTGACCTGGACCTTGGCTACCGGCTCCTTGCCGTGTGTGCCGCTCACCGCGACAAGTTCACCCCCAAATCCGCAGGTAAGACGCGAGGGCACACACACACGCACACAGATACACAGACTGAAATCTCCCCCCTCCCGTATCGCCTTAACAGACTGTTGGGGCAAGTGCTGTTAGCGAGCAGAATCCGTGAAGGGCCGGCTCTGCCCTGCCACCTTTGTCTCCCAAGTGGTGATGTTTTACACATCGCTGCTAGACACACACGCAGATGTACACACGCACATAGAAGACAACAACCGCGATTCGCCACTAAGTGACAGTGACGTCACCACGGCACCTGTGCTAGGATAGGTCCACTTTGAGGCCACGTGAAGTGTCGAAGGCTCGCTTGTGGGATCACGGGCACAGACCCAGGTGCCATGGGTTGACTGACTGAGATGACTGGCAGATGCATCTACTGTGCTCAACACTGTGCCATCTTGCGGCGTTTTATCCACCCGGTGCTCCACTCATTGTTGTGAGCATCACTCCTCTGCCCTCCGCTGTTTTCGGAGGGCGACTTCCTCCAACTGCCCAGTAGCAGCGTCCTTCACGAGCCTTCTCCACAGAGGCCGATCTTGACACCACTGGCACCAGTCGTTGGCAAGTCGAATCAATTTTACATCCTCCTGTACCACATCAGCCCATCTCCTCTCTCGCCCGACATGAACACATGCATGCAGACGTGCACACACAGAGACGCACTTACACAGATGCACAGGTGTCCAGCTTACACCCGCAGGTGTACACAAAATAAAAATGTACTTTTGGTATTTGCGCTGTTTTCATATCTCATGGCTATCACGAAGGAAGGTGCTGCTGCGTTTGCTGTGCGCAATCCCAATTGGGCGCCACGGTTGTGAGATGTTAACTACCTCACCTGGTCTACAGGAGGTCGTGGGTTGGATCCTGACCACTGAAACGTGTCTATTTTGAGTGTACATGTCTCTCTCCCCGTGGTTGCATGGTTTTCTCTCCGGGTCCTCCAGTTTTTACCCTCCTATGTTTAGAAACGCGCGTTGAGAGTATTTGACTGCAATGCATTTCCACGCGATGAGCCAACGTCATTGAGCTGTAATTTGTGATGGCCAGGTCCCTTCTGAGAAAGAGTTTCACAGAGCTCAGTGGGCCCTTACCTGGTAAAACAGTTGAGTTGAGTCATTTTTAGTGGCATTTTGTTTATTTGGCCCGAGTGACGTCACGGGACATTTAAAGTCCACTGTATTGTTTTCATAGTTACTACACCCGCAGTAGTCGTGATAACCAGGGTGGCCGGCCGGATTCGAACCAGACACCTCCTCTGGAGCACGTGGTGAAGGCGCTGCCGCCGGGCAACATCGCGCCCCCGCCCTCACGTACACACGCACACACACGCACACACACACACGTACGCACACGTACGCACACACACGCACACACACGCACACACGCACACACACGTACACGCGCACACACGCGCACACACGCACGCACACACGCACGCACACACACACGCACACACGTACACACACGCGCACACACGTACACACACGCTCACACGCGCACACACGCACACACACGCACACACACACGTACACACACGCACACACACGTACACACACACGCACACGCGCACACATGCACACGCGCACACGCACACGCACGCACGCACACGCACACACACACACGTGCACACGTGTGAAGCGTGCAAGCGTCAGACACGGAGGCGGAGAGAGACACGCACGAGAAACGCGTTTAAAAGACATGCACGGAGGCAGGGAGCGACAGAGTGATGGAGACACCGAGAGAAAGTGACGGACTCGCACGCAGAGTGATGGGGAGACACGGGAGAGAGATACACACAGAGACAGACACAGGAGAGCCAACGCAGAGAGATACAGAGAGAGATGGAGACGGGGGGAGGGGGGCAGAGAGAGTAATTTGCCTGCTCGGGCAGCAGAGTGCGAGGAGGGAGAGTGAGTGGAGAGCGAGATAGAGGAGTGAATGTCGAGGGAGAATCGCGCCACCGTTAGTGTGACAGATGTGCGGGGCAGGCAGCCATGGGTGGGTGAGCGGGTGGGTGGGTGGATGCGTGGGTGGGTGGGTGAGCGGGTGGGTAGATGTGTGGGTGGGTGGATGCGTGGGTGGGTGAGTGGGTGGGTGGATGTGTGGGTGGGCGGGTGGGTGCGTGGGAGGATGTGTGGGTGGGCGGGTGAGTGCGTGGGTGGATGGGTGGGCGGGTGGGTGCGTGGGTGGATGCGTGGGTGGGTGGATGCGTGGGTGGGTGGATGCGTGGGTGGGTGGGTGGATGCGTGGGTGGGTGGATGCGTGGGTGGGTGGGCGGGTGGGTGCGTGGGTGGGTGGGTGAGCGGGTGGGTAGATGTGTGGGTGGATGCGTGGGTGGGTGGATGCGTGGGTGGGTGAGTGGGTGGGTGGGTGAGTGGGTGGGTGGATGTGTGGGTGGATGTGTGGGTGGGCGGGTGGGTGCGTGGGAGGATGTGTGGGTGGGCGGGTGGGTGCGTGGGTGGATGGGTGAGCGGGTGGGTGCGTGGATGGATGCGTGGGTGGGTGGGCGGGTGGGTGCGTGGGTGAGTAGATGGGTTAGTGGTTAGGTGGGTGGGTGGATGGGTGAGAGAAGGGGGGGGGTACCTGGGTGTGGTTGGGTGGGTGAATTGGTAGATGGGTGTGCGTGCCGCGTCGTTGTGTGGGGTGGGTAGGTTGTGGCTGTGTGGTTTGATGGTTGTGTTGGTGAGTTGGTAATAGATGGGGTGGGTGTTGGTGGCTCGGTGCATTGATGCGTTGATGGGTGGGTGAACGTTTCATGGGTGGGTGAATGTCCAGCTGGGCAGTTGTGTAGGTGGATGGGTGTGATGGTAGAGAGTAAACACGGTCGTGGCGTGCCACGTGGGTGGGTGACAAGGCAGGTGTGTGCTGGTGTGACAGGTCGGCGTGGTAGGTAGGTGGTAGACAGCGCGGGTAGGTGCCGCTCTCTCGCGTTGGGTGGCATTGGTGGATAGTGACGGGATGAGTGGGGTTGGTGGACATGAGTGGGGTTGGTGGGGTTCGCGTGCGATCCTGCCGGTGCGAGCGAGCGAGCAAGCTGCATCCACCCCGCGCATCGCCCGCTCAGCCTCCTGTCCGCGTGTTTGATGGCCTCATTTCTGGTTTATCTGGAAATGTCGGGAAAAATAATCACCGCTGCCTTGGCCGGGTCCACGCTGGAGACCCTGGGGGTGGAACGATGCTACTGCTGCTGCTGCAGCTACTGCTGCTTCTGCTGGTGGTGGTGGTGGAGAAGGAGTAGGGGGAGGATGGGGGAGGCTGTGTGGGGGGGGGGGGAGCAATATGCAACCCCCTCTCGCCTCGACCGAGAGAGTGAGTGGTAGAGTCGAGATGGATGAGAGGCTTGTGGGGATGTGGTGGGCGGGGTGAACGCAGGCAGGCTGCTGCGTGTGGTGTCTGCGTGTACGTGTGACGAGTTATGTTTTGCGTGGGATGGGAATGCGCTCATCCCTCTGCACGTCCGTGTGTTCGGACGCGCGTCAGAGATCCGTCGTCTCATTTGCGAGGGAGATCTGGGAAACGCTGGCGAGGCGGAGAAACCCCTGTATCTGGCGCAGTGCAATTAACGATAATGAATGGCCACTTGCCTCCCGAGTCTCTAGACTCCCATTCAAGAGGATCCTGCTTCTGTGGCCAATTCCCTATTGAACGTGTCTTTTTTTTTTGTGAACACGCACTGATCAGAATGACAATTTATTAAAATGTCAAATATTCGATTTGGGATAATATGACCCGTAATATAAATGGATCGCGGGTGGCGTCATAATTGGCACGAGTTATGAGGACGGTGGCGACGGTGGCGACGGTGGCGACGACGATCTGGATGATTTGAGGCTGCCCCATTAGAGCACTGCCGTGACCGTGTTGGTAATTAGAGCTGACCGGGATGCTGTTGACGATTCATCAAAGCGGGGCTTCATTTCTCCCTTGCCGATTAATCGAGTTTGGTCTACCAGTGACCTGCCAAATATTCGGCGAAAGATCACGACGACGATGATGATGAATGATCACGATGATGATGATAGCGACGATGGCGTTGTCGATCATTCAAGAGCGCCCAGCATTGATTACCCATTTCGCGACCGCCGTATTGGCAATCGAAGCCGGTGTGCGCGCGAGCGGTGCGCGTGCTCCCCCGTGCGCGTGCTCGTGCGCGCGTGCGCGTGCGGTGTCCATTACCCAATTAACCCTCTCCTCCGTTACTGCTCCGCTGTGACGCGAGTCGAGGATGGAATGTGAAGGAGGGAGGGGGAAGAGAAGGCGAGTGAGGAGTGTGAGGGAGCAGAGATGAGGCTGGGATGGGGGGAGGTAGCGGAGTAGGAGGGAAGGGGGGGAGGGAGATGGGGGGGGGGTGCAGGGTGGGGGTGGTACTGAGCGGGTATGGAGGGGGCAGAGCACAGAACAGCATCTCCCCCAACCAACATTGCACGCACACGCACACACCACCCCTCTCCGTGTGTGTGCTGGTGGTGGGTGCTCATGTGTGCAATGCGTACGCATAGCATAACACACACACGTGTATGCACACACACACACGTGTATGCACACACACACACACGTGTATGCACACACACACACACGTGTATGCACACACACACACACGTGTATGCACACACACACACGTGTATGCACACACACACACGTGTATTCTTTCTGTATGTACAAGGACAAGACAAAGATCCCCCGGGTAGCTTACGCAGGCTGTTGGGGCGAGTGCTGTTCGCCAGCACCTATGAAGGTCTGAACCGCACACGACGGGGTGGGTAGCCAGCACCACACCCGGCCGCCTTTGTCCCCCTCGGCGTCGATGATGATAACACACTGCACCAGCTACTCAGTTGAGTCCGTGTCGACCTTGGGGAGGCCCATGACCGGTGCAAGATAATCGCCACTGATGTTGGCCGTGAGCGGGAATCGAACTCGGGCCGCCGGGTTCGTCGGCGCGGCGCGCCAATCGCTGCACCACCGCTCCCCCTACACACCAAACTCACCCAACT